CTTTTATTTCCATTTCTCTTCTCCACGAATGAATGTAACATTATGGATTCATCTGACCAAATCTCTTTCCCAATGTCCCGCCTTGAAGACAGAATTCTGTTTTATCAAGTTTGTCTCTAGTCGAATTTGGGCGTGGATTACCTAAGTTGCCATTCCGATACAAAAAATAAAACAATAAAAAATAAATAACAAACAACAAATAAAATCGAAGGAGAAGGAAAACAATCAAAAAAAATTAAAGAAATCGTCTTAAGGTTGTTGTTTCTAGAGTATCGATTTCTTTTTTCAACAATCAGAAGACACTTACACTTTTGAAGAATTGAAAACAGGAATGGGATGAACAAATATGATGAAAACAAGAACACAAATGATGACACGAGCCACCGACTTGACGATATGTCCTTAAAATGAATATGCTCCGTTCTACAGTACTTTAAGGTAGTTAACAAATTGTCTCTCAAGATTGAATGCATTTTCATCTATTAGGGGAGCAGCACAATAATTTATAAGAATTTCATGGCATTCAACTTTTGGGTTTATATTTGAAGATAGAAGCAAATTCTAGAAAGAATGGAATTTAGGCTGAAGAAATATTGCATTGAATGGTGTGATTATTATTATTATTTATTTATTTATTCATTCATTTCTTTTTATAGATAGACAATCAATTTATAGGAATTAAGCTCCTCTGCCAGGCTTGTAAAAGGCCTGACAGAGCTGAGCCTCTCACATGAGGCGCGTCTCATTAAAAAACCACCCCAAAAATACCCACCCACCCCTGTTTGTGTGTGTTCGGTAGGGGTTCTGTGAACCCCTACCAGTACACCAAGCTTCATCAAATTTATGGAATGTTGTGGCCATTTGTACATCCTAAATGCATTTTCAAGAATAGTGAGAATTGTTTAGACAAAATATCTCTAAAAAATAAAAATGTATGTTTCGACAGAAAGCAGATGTCGATTACACCTAAATATATTTTATATTTCATACTTAATGATTTTTGACAACTAAATACATCATGTTATTCATCTTCCGGATTAGAACATGAATACATTTTGTAGCGTGGGTCAAACATATATATATATATATATA